GGATGCCGGAATCAGCACACGTCACGGTCATGAGGCTGTCATTAGGGCCCCATCACCGACCTCACAACCTCATACCCCTATGTTCCCAGGGGAAAGCTCGTCAACTGAATGAGGGCAGAGGTGAAAATTGAATTTTATTCATTCCTACAACACCCATGCACATCAATGCAGACCCTTTTCAGAAGGGTGAGAAGGAAGCGAGCTAACTACGAATCCTCAAATATGGTGTGCCCTATGCGGACCTATCCTGTCAGATGTGGCTAGAGGAGATCAGTAGGAGAATAGGCTATGCTATGGGAAGTGATTACCATAAAAATAACTCCACATTAAAGGCATAATGCACGATAATTTGGTACTAGGTCTGAAATGGTACCAGGAGGAGGGGGGCTAAGTAGTGGGAAAATAGCGAAAAAGCGAAGTGAAACGGTCAAAAACCTGCAGAAAAGCTTTTGTTCTACACGACTCAGGAAGCAATTTCGGACGAGTTTCCCGTGCCAGTAACCATCGTGTCAGTACCTCTCATGGGAAAGGCGCTTCGCAGCACCTCAGAGGCGCCTTGTTCTTTCTTGCTAGGGTTATTAATCTTACACGCCTTAGGACTTGTCGTCCCAATTGCCTTCAAAGTGATTTCAAGAAAGTTTTCATAGGCAGCCCCTTAGTATCTTCTTGAGAGTTCCTCTACATTTTTCTACTCACTGCAACTTGTAAACGAGCTTGTTTGATTCTGACTAACCTCCACAATTGAAAATTTTCCGTACAGCAGTCGTGGACAGAATCTTGTTTGAGCGCAGATAATCAGCAAGTTGTCCGCCGAACAGAACGACGATGCCCATAACGGCATGTGGCAATGCGGCAAGCATTCCGGACTGAAACGGATGGACCTTCGCATTGTAGGCGTTTTTGAGTATGGTAGAGGTCAAATTAAAGTGGAATTGTGGTAAATGAGATTTCGTTTGATCTGCTGAGAGTTCCAGGAATTCCCAGTAAAAGGCACATCTCACGATCATCAGACAGGTAGGATTCCCTACGCGTATATGATCGTCAGGTTGCTGCCGCGAACTAATTTAAATTTTTTTCCTTGCAAATGCGTAATGCGTAACGACGGGAAGCTAGGTTTTTCTGATCGCGCTTTTCCAGGCGGACTCGTACATGGCGCGCCTTTATCTATTGTGCCGCTTTGTACTCTCTCACCACTCCTTTCTCTGGTCTCTCGTCCACACCTTCAGTGTCTACTCAGCTCTCGCTTCCTTCCAATCTCGTTGAATTTTCAACTTCAATTGCGAGAATGGAATACCTTATCTAAGGCGTTTCCGGTGTGTTCACCCGTTTCTTGTCTACTATTACTTCATCGAGTGCTCACATTTATGTTTTTCAACCGAACCACCCAGAATTCGCGCCACTTGGCGTCACACCATCTCTGTACGAAGCAGAGGTGGTGTAGTGGCAAGTGGCATGCCTACCACGCTCGCGTCATAGGGTCAAATCCCAGATCGGCTCCAACTCAGACCAACCAGACTTTCTCCCCTTCTGGCTTTGACATCGATTGGCCCCCGTAGGTCACTCGCAAGTCAATGTGTATAGAACCACATTGTACTCAAAAAGCCACTACGATTCTGAATGGAAGTAGAATGCGTGCCACATCCCAAAAAGGATTGATACACGACGAGGCTTTCAGACTACCCAGAAATACTTACAATCGCAAAATGAGCTTTCACTGCATAAGGTGCCGTATGTTTCACTACCGTTAAGGGTACTTTCAGTTGTCTAAAAGGCCCAAAGTTGAACCAGTAAAGGCAAACGTACATCACTGATGTTCATGTCGAGTGCCTCTTTCATATACGTCAGTTGATTCTGAAGAAGTAGATAGAACGTCCAACTCCTAGCAAAATTCGCCACTATAATTGCCCACACCGGTTTCGATGTCACAATAGCCTTCCATGGTATAGAGCGGATCTGAAAAAGGATGCTTTGACAGTGGAGCGCTTTGGAATGTTAGTGAACGGACTAACTGTAGGATGGCTGGCGGAAACATGTCCAATAGCGTCTTCTATGTATTTCTTTTCATCCTGACTGATCGTTGGATGGAAAGCGGGTTTTTCAAAGGTGAGTGAAAACCAGAATACAGACCAAACAACACCAGCGAAACCTAATAACAAGTTGTGAGCATTAAAAGGGTGTAAACAGTAATGAAAGAAAGAACTGACCGTAGAGGTAGAATGGTGGCACTCCATCCCACGTAAGAGACTAGAAATGCTGACACTGGTAACCCAAGCACTGCTCCAGCATAGGAACCGGTGAAGGCAGTAGTGGCCAATTTGGAACGCTCTAGTGGCGGAGCCCAATAGCGCCATACACCATGCATCGACGGGTATGCAACACCCTGAAGTAGAGCTTCGCTTCATATAGTCACCAGGGTACACCACTGATGGGGTTTTGGTCGAGGCCGTGCGACCCCCCCCCGCCCCCTCCACCCCTTAGTTCTCCCCTCCGAAATCGAGCTGTCGAGCGAGGGCGGGTGCGCACATTTCTCGCCGGATGCGACCTCTCCCAACAACGAGCAAATACCACCACCCCCCCCCCTTCTTCTTCTAGCGCCCGTGTAACAAGAAAAATCAATTACCAGAGAAAAAATTTTCTAGACGAAAAACGATCACCCTGCTGGGGAATCCCCAACGATGCTGTGCCCTTGTCAGAAAACGTCCAAGATCGCGGTAGGGAATAAAATGTACCTGAACGAGCCCTTGAAGAATCTGAATGATTGCCACAAGGGTATCACTCTTCGATTTGAAACCGTATGGTAACAGAATATTGAGAAATGAAGCAACACCTATAGCGATCCCGAACAATCTGAAACGCGACGTTGGTAGGGAAATATTGCCCTCGGAAGGTATCAGCTTACTTGTTGGGAGGATATTTGGCAGCAAGGAATCCGGCAGGGATTTGTGTAATGAGATAACCGTAGAAAAACGAGCTCTCCATGACGCTCAGTTCAGCTCGAGTCCAGTTGAAATCGTGGACCTGCAACTTGTGTTTTATGAAATATATCTGCTAAATTTCTTAATGTCGTAGAAACAGTGATTTGCACCTCAGGTAGCTATTTTTTGAACTGAATGGCGCTGACATTTTAGAACTAAACCATTAAATCGATCGAGTTCCCTCGTCGTAGTGAATGTCCACATATACTCGAAATCCCTGAGATCGGGTAGGCGGAGCATTCGAACACTGTAAGGAACTGGTTACTAGTGGAATATTCCAGTCTGGGACAACTGTCATCTTGTTCTGTGTTGGACAGAGACACGACAACGATTGTGTCGAGATGAAAATATCGCATCAGAAGCGTAGACGCCTTAAGGGTAAGTTGAAACATGCGGCCACGCCTACCCGATCTCAGGGATCTCGAGTGTACCACTTGTCAAAACATTCACCTTACTAGCGTTACCGACTGGTACTTATATCAAAACTCGTGCAGCCTCGGAGCACGCTCCGCGTTTATTTCATATCACACGACTTCTGCGAAAAAAGTAGCCCTGTACGCTGGCATGTAAGTTGTACTACTTTCGCAACTCAAGAGAACATGTAGGAAGAATGAGCCGCTCGCGACGACACCACGGCCCCGCCCACCGACCACGGCGACGCCCTTTCTTCGCCTTATGCAGGCGCAAGCGCGGTCTAGCATGGGGTATGGGCAATCTTTTTTCTGTTTCTTGTCCACTGTTGTGCTATTTTCCATCTTGTCACTAGCATTTGAGCCTGCACAGCTCACCATTTTTGAAGGCAGACGTGCCTTCAGGGCCTTTGAAGGGCCTGCATGGTATGGGCAGGGATGTTCAGACATGAACCTGTAGTCTGTAAGTGAGGACCAAGCCGCCGCCGCTTATGGAAATGGTAAATACAGTCGCAGAAAAAAAACTTGGAACAAGCCCAAGTCGCGCGCTTTTTAATAGCTTTACCTAAAAGTTTTAAACTGTACATGAAAACGTTGTTTGCTCAAATCAAGTACTCCTAAAAAAGCTACTCTAAAGAAGAGAGTTGGTTGATTGAATTCGTTGCAGGGACAGAATTTTGAAGATTACGGCGATGAGGCACTTTGAGGAAGGGGGAGGGGGGCCCTACGGGTGGGGCTCGGTTCAAGCGGGAGCCGATCCGGGCTTTGAACCCAAATACCCCGCTTGCACTAAGTGGCGCCACTTGCCATTACACTACTTCCGCTTGACCAATTTCAATATTATTGTATTGTAACATTATACTCTTAGCTTCTGGCTCTAATGCTGGTGTATAAGAAGAGATTAGATGGCCTAGAACAGATGAAAAAGCTTCTTCCAAGTTTTTCTTCCGCGGACTGTATTTAGTACCCACTTCTCATGTGCCACTTTTTCGGATAGATAATCATGGGTACAGTGAAAAATCAGGGGGAACGTTGTGAGATCATGCTTGGAGTTAGTGCGAGTTCAACTCGTGAGAACGGAACCGCAAATTTCCGATTTTCTCTAGATAAGGAGGATGGTTTCCCAGATATATAACGGGACATGTTTCGAAATAGAGCTTTTTTCTCGAGATTTCCTGCAGCAATAATAACAAGTCTTCCAAAAATTATGGACAAACCTAATAGAATAAAGTTACAAAACAAGTCGATGAAATGAACCCACATGTTGACGTCCCCATGGA